AGGACAGTTAAGGTAATCTAAAATAACCCAGTAAACAGCAGGCGGCAACATCAAGGTTGTAATTCTGAATGGTCCTCAAAACCCTTATTATTAATTATCATATCTCAAAGAATCCATGGTGCACCATTATTGTGTGTACCACTAAGAATAATAATCAAAATGCTGGCAATTACAGACTGATGGATATATTAACCTGTGAAGAAAAGGGGATGAGGTGTCATGTTTCAGAATTAAAGATACAGAGTATCATTCTGTACTGCTTCCTGTGTAGTGCCTTTCATAATATTGAAGAAATATTATGTAGGAGCTGAATGAAGACTTGAATACCACTTAGTTCTGGGGTGCTCCAGAGAACAGCTCCCATAGGCCATACTAAACTATTACTTTTCTACTGCTTAAGCATATTCAGAATGTATTTTCAGATTAAATCACTTTATATCCTCCCAGTTGTCACCTCATTGGAATGCTGGTAACTGTGCATTACTATTAACTTTAAATTAGAGATACACAGTGGCACAGTGATAAAAACTTGTCTAGTCTAAGGACTCAGAGGTGTAAATTAACAAAGAAGGAGCTAAATCCTCTAATCATCCCAGTGGCTCAACCTCAAGGTGCCAAGAAATTCCTCATTCTCTTTTCACTCAGCTGTCAGGTTCCAAAGATTTGGCTTATTTATTCCACCTGGCCTTCCCCCACCCCTTCAGACTAACTGGGAAATGCAGTTTTCTAACTTCTTAGTGTTTTTCCAACAATCCTCCACACTTCCCTTTTCACTCTCAAGGAATTTATTGCCTTATTTTCTTAGAAACACTACTTATCGCTGAAGAAAGAGATAGAAATACACCTTAGGGAAGTTAAAATAGTTCAGCAACGGTGAATTGCTCAGAACTCTACTTTTGGTGTCATTTTGCATTTGTGGGAGTGGGTGGGGTTCATCACCAATCTACACAAACTACAGATTATCTTCAGGATTCTGATAACAAGGAACAAACACAAGTGAACTAGGAGGCCATTCACAAGTCAGACACATTTTAGTGAACAAATACATGAGGCACGATATAAAAATCAGCCCCCCAAAAGGTCTCTGTATTCTCTCTGGCTACGTTCTAATTGGCAAAGGAGCAGGGGCAGTGCACAGTTACAGAGCTGTAAAGACAGTGCATCTGTGTAACACAATAGAGTATAAGGTATGATGATAGCATACGGGAGGGAGAGAGTACACCTGGCTTCGCAAATCTGGAAATGGTATGTAAATTAAGCTCTGGATTTTATGTAAACACTTTAGGCCTGGTTAGGGACAGCATGGTATGGGAGAGATATGCTTAAAACAACCCCAATTCTTCAGCTCTATCTTTTGGCTCTTACAGTAGAGATACGATGTGGTAATTAAACCTGGCTAGACAAATATGTATCAGGTAAAACAGGCCTGGTTAAGGAATGTTCAAAATAGACTCTACCTTAAACCCAACAGGGAACAGGGATTTTTAATAATGACAGTTATTAAGTTTTAAAAAGATGACTTTGGATGCATCGTAGAGACTGGACTAAAAAGGGAGAAAAATGAGACAGAGAACCTTGTTTAAGGAATCTGTTGTGGGAATTCCAGGCAAGTAAAAATGGCCTGATTTTACGTACTGACTGTGGAGACAGAATTAAGCGGACTGGTTTGGAAATTTTTAAGAGTTTAATGACTAATTCGATCCCAAGAGCCAAAGAGAAGGATTTTAAAACGACTACTTGCTGGCTTGGGCAAATGGGAAGCTGGCAAAGCCAACCATTTAGGTTCTGATGGAAAGAGTGTGCCAAGAGGCTATTATTGCTAAGAAGAGAGACGTTAGTGGCCTGAATGAGAGATTAACACTAAGTGCATAGATTTTGAGAGATATTTAGGAAGAAAAATCAACAAGACTTGGCAATTGCCTGAGGTGAGGTATGTAAGGAAAGAATCAAAGATGATACCCAACTTTGACTTAATTTCTGTGGATGGTCACTGTGGTAGATTATTTCATGGCCATAAATTCCTTTTATCCTGGTATGTAGATTTCCTTGCAGACTATGTCACTCCACCCATATAGAGATAGAGTCTGTTTCTCCATCTCTGAAATCTACACTGGCCCTATGACTTGCTTTGACAAATACTGTGAGGTAGAAGTGATATATATGATTTTAAAGGCCGGCTTCAGGAGGCATTGCAGCTTTTGCTCTTGGAGTGCTGCCCTGAGACTGCTATGAAAAGAAGTTGGGCTGGCCTATAGGAAGCTGAGAGGTCGCATGGAGGAGAACCAAGTCACCCTGGCAGACAGCACCAACTAAGAATGAAGCCATCTTGGGCCTTTCAGTTCAGCTACCTACAGTTTAGCTAGCTAAACACAGCTCCATACATTAGACACAGGAAATCAACAGAGGAACTACTCAACAGACCCACAGAATGAGAAATTCTTGTTATTTTAAGCCACTAAGTTTTGGGATGGTTACACAGCAGAAGATAATTGAAGAGAAATGAGGGGAAGTCAATGTGAAAGGTTATTCCTCATCTTTGCATGGTGGTGGACTCAAATTATCCAAGATAAGCAAAAAAACAAAAACCACCACCAACAAAAAAACCCCCCAAAAACTCCCCATGCACCCTCCCCCCAAAACACAAAAACCAACCTCCAGTAGAAAGTTTAGAGAGGGGTCTTTCAGCAATTTCTAAAGCACCAAGTGCCTGAATAACAGAGTACCGTAATACTAGAGAGGTTAAAAAACAAACAAACAAAAACAAACAAAAAACCCCCACATCTTTCAGGTATGGTTGCAAAAAAGGCAAGCTCTTCAAACTAGTTTTAAAAGTTAACTTTTTGTTTTATTTTTTAAGAGAAAGAGCAGGAGTAGGGGTAGACAAAGAGGGAGACACAGAATACAAAGCAGGCTCCAGGCCTGATGTGGGCTTGAACCCAAGGGCTCAAGATCATGACCTGAGCCCAAGTCAGATACTCAATCATCTGAGCCACCCAGGTACCCCAGGATTTTCAAACTCTTTGATGAAAGTAAAGCAGAGGTGTTTATAGAAGCCTTCGGTATAGGCTCTAACTCCCTCAAACCTTAGATAAATCAATCAAACCAGGTCTCTTTGCAGAAAACTTTTCAGCAGGTTCAGCAAAGTGAATACCTGAAGAATTACGTTGACTAAATGAAGCATGAAAAAGCTCCCACAATGCCTGAAAAAGTTATTCATTCACGTAGCAAAACATGGATCGTAAGATTCTTAGGAGTTAACCAATATTAAGTTGTACCCAAGGGAATAGAAAAATAAGACAAAATTAGCCCTACCCCATTCAAAGATTAAGGAGGCATCTGTTGTGTTAATGGAGAAAAACTAAATTAAAAAATCAACACTACTCGATTTTAAATGAGACGAAGGCTATTATTTTAGAAAATGAATTTCAAAGAAAAAAATTCTGGGCGCCTGGGTGGCTCAGTCGGATAAGCGTTCAACTTCGGCTCAGGTCATGGTCTCACGGTTCGTGGGTTCGAGCCCCACATCAGGCTCTGTGCTGACAGCTCAGAGTCTGGACCCTGTTTCAGATTCTGTGTCTCCCTCTCTCTCTCTGCCCCTCCCCCACTCATGCTCTGTCTCTGTCTCAAAAATAAATAAATTATTAAAAAAAAGAAAAAATTCTGCTTTGCTACGGAGTAGCTTTTATTGAAACGTTGTCAAAAGTCACAAATGGCACTAAAAGGCATCCAGCAGCACGTGAATAACATCACAGATACAAGGTTTGTCTAACAGTGAATTAGAGATCACTAACAATTCAGAGAAAAAAGTAAACAGAAAGTGTGCCCTGGACCAAAGACTTGGGGCTTTCTTCTAAGATTTAGGGAGCCTTGTCACAAGGAACGGTAGTTCCTTGTATTTCGTCCGTTTAAAAACAATCTTTCTTCCTTCCCAAGGTTTACTGCCTTCCACCCCAACCCCGTCTCACTGTGTAGTTTACAGACTGTTTTTAGCGGGAGCTCTTGCAAAAGAATGTAAATACCACTCAAGATATTCTTAAGTCGGGAGAAAGAACCGCTAGAAATCCGGGCGGGAAAGTAAAAGCATCAAGTCAGGAATGAAGCCACGTAGCATTCCGCCACAGCAGCGGCCAAGGAAGCGGAGTCCTCCCACCCTCTCCAAGCGTGGCTCCCACTCAGGTCCGAATGTTTCGTCTTCCTCAGCGCCAATATCCCCCACTCGCGCCTAGGCTGCCGCGGAGATGATCTCCACTCACCGCCTGAAGTACAGCTGCCAACAGCAACCGCAGCCCAAACGCCGGCAGGAGCCATCCACCGGGCCCAGCCGCCATCGTTACCATCTTCCGTAGGTCTCCAACCACCCAGAGGCCCCCTCAGCTAGGGCCGTCCACTCCAGAGCCTGATCCAAAACAGGCTGCTAACGCCCGCTGCCATGAAATCTGTTACTCTGCAGAGACGAGTATTACCTAAGGGTATATGGAAGCTTAAAGATGGTCGAATACCTTTATATTTGACATAAATATAAAGTCGCGGGGGCCTCTTGACCACCCCTATCAGGCATTTTCCTAAACTCCCCAAATCTGTGAGGCTCCGCGCTTCTTCCTTTTATTCACGACATTTCGTCAAGCAGCCAAGAAGCTCCGCCTTCGCCAGTCTGGGTCTGCCCCCTTTTCCGAGTTTACCCAATCGAATGCCGCTTTGGTTGACACCTGCGGCAAAGGAAACCAACCGTAACACGAACCAAGGGAGAAGCTCCGGGTTCTCCGGTCCAATAGGCACAACGGAACGGGAGGAGAGGGTGGAGCCTCTGGTTGCCGAGCAGCGTACGTGGATGCGTGCGCGTGGTGGCTAAGGGGGATGGGCAGGGGGCGGGGCCGAGGGCGGCGCAGCCGCAGCGCTGGCGGAGGAGCGCGCGGCCGCGAGCAAAGGAGGGAGGGAAGGAAGGAAGAGAAGGAGGCGGGCGGGCTGGCGGGCGCGGGGGTCGGGGACTGAAGCGGTAGAGAGAGGCGAGAGCCCGGCAGCCACTTCGCGCTGTGTTTGCTGCGCGGGCTTTTGGAGGGGGCGGCCGCTGAGTCGGTCCCGGAGAAGCGATCACCGGCGGCGTTGGTGCTGGCGCCTGGGGGCGGGGGACTGGAGAGACAAGAAGGGGGGTCGCTGCGGTGGTTCTCTCGCTGTCGCGCTCTCCTTGCCTTTCTCCCGGCTCGGTGGGCTTCCCCCGGCGTCTCACTCGCCTCCGGGGCCTCGTTCCCCGCCCCCCGCGGTATGTCTTGATCCCGAGCAGCGGGTTTCATGGGGCTCCTTAGGATTATGATGCCGCCCAAGTTGCAGCTGCTGGCGGTGGTGGCCTTCGCAGTGGCGATGCTCTTCTTGGAGAACCAAATCCAGAAGCTGGAGGAGTCCCGATCGAAGCTGGGTAAGAGCAGAGCCACTCGGTGCTGACTGGTCATGAAGGGGCCGGGCCGGGGAGGCGTTGCAACCCGAGCAAGTGGGCTTTCGTCTAACCTGCGATCTGGCTCGGGGGCAGGAAGCCGAAAGAGCTTGCGAAGGGACCCGGGACTGGGGGCAGCGAGAACACAGGCTCCAAGAACGGTGTGAATTAAGCGTGAGTGGTGTGCTGGGCTCGCGAGGTCACGGGGCAGAGGCTGCTAGGGTGGGGGGCTTTCCCGTGCCTCCTAAGGGTTACCCGAGGAGGCATTCCAAGGGGGAGACAGCTAAAGAAGACGGAACTCAGTAGGGAGCGGGAACTGCCGGAGGAGGCAGAAACGCTCAGCCTTGCGTGTTTCTTGAGTCTCCCGAAAGCCCGGGCAGTGCCAGTCCAGGGGTGTTCCAATGTGAGATGTTGGCACCTGGATATAGATCTTTTGGGGATGGGGAGGTTCACGAAGGGATAGATGCTTCGAAATGGAGGGAGATACTGAGAATGATGGTGAGTAAAAGAAATACACTGTAGTGAGTTGCACTCTTGTGCTGGGGGCAGCAAGGGACCACACAACTGACGGGAGAAGTAGGCTGCCAGGTAGGAGAGGAAAGCAAATGAAAAGCTTTTCAGTAAGGCACAGTGAGGAGGCACCCAGGCATTTAAACTCTTGTTTTTCCTTCTTTTAGAGGAGCTAAATTTTGTTAGTATTTTGGGCTTAAGAATAGGAATGTTGATCGTCGTTCCCGGCAATGTTGATGTAATGAATTTGGAAGAGGAGGGCACACTGAAGGAGAATTACAGTGAGATTGAAGTTTGTGGAAGGAAAAGTAAGATTATACAATAAATTAACCACATGCTTAAGTACCTTAAGGAGTTAAGAGTGATTACTTTAATGAGAGATCTAGAGTCCAAAATGTGGGAGTACGAAGTTGTGAAAGACCAGAAAAATGCACAAATAATAGGTACTTTCAGATTAGTAAGGAACTTTGGCATTTGGGAGGAATTTTGGATGTAGAGGGAGTGTTGAAGGATGTCTGCAATACGTTTAATGTACATGGCATTTAAAAATCAGCTCAAGAGGCTATAATTTAAGTATGGAAAAGAAATGTAAAGTGTTTTTATACATACACTTTCACCTCGGCGTCGTTTTAAATAGTTTTTGAGAAGCAAGCAATAAAATTTCAGCAGCAAAATCATTTAGACTGAGTAACAGCTAGATGCTGCTGTGGGTGATTATTAATATTAAGGTAAAATGTATTAGCAAATAATTCTACTATTACAAGTATAGCTGCCTATTTGCAGTTTTGGCAGACTTTGCTAAAAGCCTTGAAAACGTTTTGAAGAGTCTATCAAAGAGCATCAAATAAATCTAATTGAAGTGCAACTAAAGTTGAATGAGGTGCTAAGATTAACTCCAGTCTTCAACTCTAGGGTAAAACTTAGCCTACACAGTTTTGAAGAGAGATCAAATTTATTTACCATGATTTTATTTATATGTATCTTGTGTGATGGAAAAATTGTTCACCTTAAATATTGAAGGTTGGCCAATACACCTTTATTTTTGGTTTGGATCCACTTAAGCATTCGGGGTCACATTCTGGCCTCTTTAATGATCCAGCTTTACTGAAAAAAAAAATGACTCTTGGAGAAATTTGAAAGTTATATTAAAATTCAGATATGTACTTATTCTTTGTTATATTGCTATTTAGATTTCTTAGACACATTACAGTGGTAAGGATAACTTCACTTTCTTAGGTTCCATTTTTGCCTCAGATTTTCTCGTAATACTTGAAAATGGGTTCCATAGACACAACCTAAATGATTTAAAAAAAGAGGATTATCATAACACGTAGAAAGCCACAGGTAGAAAATAATGTGGGTTTTTTTCATGATTTTTTGGTAAGAAACCTTTAAATTCCATCAGAAAGAGTATATATGGATCAAACCAAGTACTCAAACTAAGAAAAGGAGCTCAAATACAAAACACCTGGAGGAACTAATAATGGTCTGGAGCTGCAGCAACATGGCAAATAAAATGTATAACTTAATATCGTCAGTCTTGATTTTTTTAAAAAAGAAAAGTCTCATAAAAAGGAGTACTAAAACAGATGTTACCAGTTAGTAATCTTAGGGAAGGAATGCAGAGAAGGCATAGTTGATAATCAGACTCCGTACTAGGCACTTCCATACGTGATATTTGTATGTAATCTTCCAAGAACACCAACTATTTTTACAGATGTGGGAACAGACTTCAAAGTTATAACTTGAGCACGTAGCCATTAGTGGCAGAGTCAGGATTGGAACCCATGTGAAGTGTGATTCCACATCGTGTGCTTCTTTAATCAGACCAGGCTGCTTGGGACTTTATATTGACACTACACTAAGATTTAGCAGTTTGAGTAGAATTTTTAAACGGTAATATCAATGTTTAATTGCATTTATTGCTAAGAATGAATATAATTCTGAGAAAATCTAATTTCTGACACAAAGAAATTGGTTTAGTGTAATGTCTGCTTCTTGTTTATATCCATATAATGAACATAATTGTATTACCCAATGAAATGACTGCAATAGTTTATTTCTGTTGTAGAAAAAAAAAGAAAAGCCTGTGGTGGTTTTCTGTAAGTGTAAAGCTTTCTGCTAGCTTAGGCAAAAGTTATAAAATTTACACAGGCAAATCTATTTAGGCAACTAGGTTTCTTCTGTTTCTTGAAGACCCATCCAAGATTATGTATGTTCTCTAGATTTCATTATAGTATTTTATAAATTTTAGTCCTTATATTTAGTTCTTTAAGGCATTCATATATTTGTAGAGATTTATTGTAATTTCTCTCAATGAATGGCCACTTATGGCAAATATTAATAAATAATTCATTTCCCACTGTATGTTACAGTTTTTTTTCCACATATTATAGTTCCTCTTTTCATCTCTTAATTTTTTTTCATGTTTTTGGATTGATTTTGAACTCCATGTTTTCTACTAATTAGAGATTCTTTAAACCTCAAAGGACCTCTATATAGGCTTCAAGGCACCCATAAATTCCCTGAAATTATATGCATAGCATTTATCAGATTTGCAAAGGCATATGCGATCCTTTTATTAGTGGGAATCACTGACATGGAGTAGATGGTTTGTTTGTAAGTGTGTTTTTTATTTCTTTGTTTTTAATATTAACGTATTATAACATGCAGCTTGTGCGTAATACTTAGGATACAAACACATTAGTTATGAGAAAAGTTCTTTGGGGTGTGTCATTTTATTAAAATGTATACTTAATTTTTCTAATGGAAGATGACATGGAGTCAGTGAAAACTGTTACTTAGCTTACTACTTAGGTGTTAGCATTGCAATTTGTTGCTTATACAAAGTAGCTTTTTCTAAGTCTTCAGAGGCCTGCGTAGCTAATGCTGACTGATGGAATTGCAATGAAACCTTTGTACATAAATATTAGAATTATATGCTTTATAATTTTATTCTCTATAGGGTGTAAGCACTTAAAATAATGTTTGTTGTTTGAATGCTTCTAACACCACTATGTGAATTTATGAATACATTAGGATATAATCTTTTAAATGAAGACAGTGACTCAGAATGGATTATGTAGTCCTCTTCACTGGTTGAAAATTCTGTTACTCTCTATGTTCTTAAAATCCCCCTAAGTTTATGAAGTAATTCCGGGACTAAACTTGATACTGTTCTTTGGAATTTGGTGGTATTTAAAGTGCCTGAAACTGTGCAACGGTATCTGTAAGATGTTCCCAAGAATGATAGACTCCTCTCCTTCTGAAATTGTTTGCCAAACTCACGGTAGTCACTGTTTAGAGGACTTTGGGTTAATTGGAATGAAGTTATTTTAGAATTGCTAATTAGTGCCTCACTTATGAGTCCTGGATAGGATACTAGTGCCATAGAGTAGTCACTAGAAAAATTGGTCTCAATTAAGGTAACCCCAGGATGTCTGTCTACCATTCCCTTAAGACTTGTAATAGCTTTTGGCACGTAGCAGAATGGCAATAAAAATGAATATTCCAACACTGGTTTCCAGAAAGACCACTTTTGAGGGATAGTCGTATACATATCTGGACTTTCTAGTTATGATTCACTGTAGCCTAACTACTTACAGTTTTATACCCACCCACTAGTAACTGTTTATATACTTTTGCTTTTCTGCCTGTTAACTATGGATTAACTGCCTGTTAGGTGACCAAAACAATATTTTCTCTTGACTCCCCTTTTCTCAACCAACCTCTGTTCCATATTTTGGCTTCCCTTTGCAGTAAAACTAAAAACTTGTCTTACTGACTCCAATTGCCAAACTCACCAGTAATTTCCCTAAATCTTATGGTCAATTTTTGTTCTTCATTTTATTTGACCTATCAGTAGAATTTGACACAATTGATCACTTCCTCTTTTGTGATAGATTTTCTTTACTTGGTTTCCAAGATAGTATAATCTTGGTTTTCTTCTCACCTCATTGGTCACTTCTCCGAATTCTGTGTTGGATTCTCCTTTTCTCCTCAACCTCTTAGCATAAAGAATAACCCAGGGCTCAGTTCTTCTTTATTAACTCTTCCTTTGTTAGTGATTCATATGCTGACAACTTCCAAATATATATTCCCTTTTTTTGAAGGCACATTTTTAATTTTTTTTTTAATGTTTTATTTATTTCTAGGAGAGAGAGAGAGACAGCATGAGCAGGGGAGGGTCAGAGAGAGAGGGAGTGACAGACTCTGAAACAGGCTCCAGGCTCTGGGCTGGCAGTCAGCACAGAGCCCGACGCAGGGCTCGAACCCAGGAACCGCGAGATCATGACCTAAGCAAAGTTGGACGCTTAACCGACTAAGCCACCCAGGCGCCCCAGAAGGCACATTTTTAAAATTAATTTTTTAATTTACATCCAAGTTAGCATATAGTGCAATAATGATTGCAGGAGTAGATTCCAGTGATTCATCCCTTATGTATAACACCCAGTGCTCATCCCAGCAAGTTTCTC